TAGGTTATAACCCGTGAAAACTACGATGGATATAATTAAAAAAAAATTAAAGATAAAAATAACTCATAATTGTAAAAAATGCATTAGGTTTTCGATTGTAATGCTGATATTTTTTTTCAATTTCAAAATATATGGATTCAAAAAATGTACAATTAATTCTAGGATACATATTTTACTGGTTTTACAATTAAAATAAATACATATTTTAATATTATTTTGTCATGTGTTTCTATCGCCTAATTGAAATAAAATTTATTATGCATTAATATGTTCCTACGCCTAAACAAAACCATTTTCAATTTGTATGCTTCGGCATATTGATTTATTTTGATATAATTTGTTAACATGTAAACTAAAATATCATTAACAAAGTAGGTTAAAATCCGTGTTTCAAAAATTGAACCGGATTTGATATTGTTATTAAAGTAAGTGGAATTTGATTGTAGTTTCCAAATAATAATTCTGGTTTTTTGATATAATTTTTGGCATTAAAATTAATTAATTAATTACAATTAATATTTCTGATTTTTATATAATTTTTGAAAATTATAGGAATTATTTAGAAGTATGACTCGTGACAATGTAACATGGTAAAATAAGGACAAGTGACATAATTGTATTTTGTTTATTATGAGAGATAGATTTATTAAGCTGTAAACCAAATTATCATTATCAAAATAGGATAAAATTTGTGTTTCAAAAATTGAACCAGATTTGATATTGTTACTAAAATAAGTGGAATTTGATTGTAGTTTCTAAAAAATAATTCCGGTTTTTTGATATAATTTTGGCATTACAATTAGTTTTTTAATTAATTACAATTAATATTTTCATATTTTTATATAATTTTTAGAATTTATAAGAATTATTTTGAAGTATGACACGTGGCAATGTAACATTGTATAATTGAGTTTTGTTTATTAATATATATATATATATATATATATATATATATATATATAGAGAGAGAGAGAGAGCTATGTTCAGGTATTTAAAGTAATTATTGTGTTATTGTATGCATAAATGTGGGCCAATCATAATTAAATAAAAATTTAAATAATTAAATAAATAAACAATGGTATTTTAGTAATTTGATAAATAGTTTCCACAAATAGTCCTATAATCATGCTAGCATTCAATTTTAACCTAATTTCTTTTCTTATATACAACCGTCATCCATTTGCGAGGTGGTCGTCTCCGGTTGAAGACCCCTTCACGCCGATCATCCAATCACCGACTACTGATCGTTGTTGATACCTAATATCCTCCTTCGATTTCTGCCTTTGATTTCTTCCCTTTATCTTCATTGAGAAAACCCACGAACCACCCCAATCTACATTCGATTTCCCCCAATCGTTTCTCGGTCGAACACTACCGTTGTTCCTGCTTCCTTCAACCTTGCAGATGTTAGTGACGAAGGAGAAAAACCCACGAAGGGCACGCCGGGATTAGCAGCTCCCTCTCCCTCTTACTACCGACCAACCACCAATGGAACTTCCTCTTTCTCGTTGTGCACTTTCGAAGAAAAAGAAATCCAGTGGCGCCAGGAGGGAGAAATGCATTAGGGCTCCCGGTGCTCGGAATAGTAGCAGCAGCTGTCGTTACCTTCTATGTCGTCAGCTTCTCCGAGCTTCGAGAGGTAATCTCCCTTCTCTCTCTTTCAATCGATTGATACTTTATCCGTTTATAAAATTCAAATCAATTCGTTTTCGTAATCAAAATTCCGATTTTGAATTTCAGAAATCGTTGAACAATTCGTGAACAAAATACCATCGATAGATGGGGAAAATTCAGAGCGCGAAAGAGGATAGAGAATCCTTTCAAAATGTATTTTTTTTATGTTGCATCGGTGCTACTGAGGATTTGAAAGATTAGCTTTGTGCGCTGATGAATTGCTGCGATTTAATACAATTTGATTTAAAATTGATTTTTTAAATGCCTTCAGCTGTTAGGAACTTAGGATAGTTTGATCTTTATCTTGCATTTTACTAGAGTTCATGGGCATTATAGAGAAACGTTTGACTTGATAGTTTGTGTTGGTTGAAATGTTCTGTTTATCGAAACTGAATTGATGAAGAGTTATGCAGAGATTGGGGCCATATTCCACAAGCATCAAGAAAGCTGAAAAAGATGTAAAGAAAATGGCCAAAAGGATCAACGATTTATGTGGTAAGCTTATTTTTGTGAGGTTTCTGACTCAAATAAGCTTGTA